CTCGCAGTGGGCATGGCATGGACGTACATGCCATCCCTGGCGGCAATGGGTTAACTAAAATGACTCCTAGACAGATAGAGAGAGAGTGAGATTGCCAGACAGCCATTCAGAAGCAAGGACAAAGAGCTAGAGAGAGAGAGAAAGAGTGAGAGACAAAGAGAAAGATAGAAGAAGCGTCTGATAAAGAAAGAGTTAGAGAGAGGAAAATTAGTCTGAGAGAAAGAATTCAAGAGAGAAAGAGGTAGAGAGAGAGGGGGGTGGGGCAGAGTTACTAGGATACATTATCTTTGCTTTAATTTTTTTTTTTTTTTTTTTTTTTTTTTTTTTATCTGTGATACTTACTTAAAGCTAGACAGATATGTTTCTGAAATATTGAAATAATATCCTATATATGAATCAGAGTGAAACACACTATCTAAGCTTTTAATACAGCACTTTAACCCATTCGCCACATATGGCAAGAATAGATGCCATACCCACTTTGAGACACGTTTATTTATTGTATTTACACATAGATGGCAACACTTGTACTAACTCCCCAATGAGCCAACTACGAGCACCGCCCGTCTCACCCGTTTACCCTTTTCTTTGATTTATAAAATATTTTACCTTATCTTATTTTGCTGTTACTAATGTTAAAAAACATTATAATAATTATAATGTTTATGATAAAAATAACACCATCAATTTTCATAGCACTAGTAAAAAATACGTTTTTTCCGCCATTTCAAATCAGGCGCTAGCAGAGCCATCTATCGGCAGACATTTTACGAAAAACATAGAAAGTGGGCACAGCATTTTCCCCATTTTTTTTTTTTTTTCCCAAAAACTATGCTGATCTTTCATAAAGAAATGGAGAATGTTTGAGAGTACAAAGGAATTAGAGGAATTAGGACATGGAATTAGAAGGAATGAGGAATAGAAGGACATGGAGAATTTGAGGAGGAATTAGAAGGACATGGACTGGCTAGCCACTTGGGTCTACACACTTTTTAGGCCTTTGCCCTCGCATGGCATCCCTCCTTCCTTATCAACACCCAGCCATGTACACAATATATATGTGTGTGTGTGTCTGTGTGCATATAAATATATACATATGATATACATAAATACATTTATATGCTGTATATATATATATATATATATAAATGTATATGTAGCTATATATAGAGAATATATAGAAAATATATGTATATATATAATGTGTATGTATATGTATACATATATATATATATATATATATATATATATATATATATATATATAATTTATGTATCTATATGTGTGTGTCTATGAGAAGAACGATATATATATATACACATATACACACACATATATATATATACACATATACATACACAGACACTCAGACAGACACACACACATACATATATAAAGCATATATATATACATATATAATTATGCATTTGCATATATATATAAATATATACATATGATATACATAAATACATTTATATGCTGTATATATATATATATATATATATATATATATATATATATATAATTTATGTATCTATATGTGTGTGTCTATGAGAAGAACGATATATATATATACATATATATGCACATTTCTTTATGTATGCATGTATAAAGATATATAGATACACACACCCACACACACATGTGCATTTGAGCGTGTGTGCACACACATGCATGTGCATATCCATGTGCATGCCTTTGTGTGTGCAATGATGGGCACTGATACTTGAAAATTAACCCATTGCCGCCGGGGAAAATGAACAAAAAATGGGGGAAATACAGTACTCATTTTTTATATTTTTGTGAAATATCTCTGTCCATAGAGGGCTCTGCTAGTCCTGATTTCACCTTTCCTTGAATGGGCGGGAAAAAACGTATTCTTACTAGTGCTATAAATATAGATGGTGTTATTTTTAACAGCAAATTAGGATAACGTTAAATATTTTCGTAAACCGATGAAAAGGGTGAACGGGCGAGGCAGGCAGTACTGTAATTGGCTCCTTGGATACTTAGTACAAGTATAGCCATCTAGGTGTAAAAACAATCGAACAAGTCGACTCACAGTGGGCATGACATGTGCGTACATGCCATCCCCGGCGGCAATGGGTTAAAACGAGAGAGAACTTCGGAGTGAGCTTTAAGGAAGGCTTTTTCTTTTCTCATTTTGTATGTAGCAGTGCAGGTAGCAATAGATAAGAAGAACCTGAGCTCTTTCTTAGTTATCCTAGACAACAAACTAATTTACTGCCTACTTGACTACATTATGGTCGACTATAGTCATACTTTCATATACCATATAGTATCTAAATACCTCCACAATAATTACTTATGTGCATTATACATTTTTTGTAAGGAAATAGTTTTATTGAAGTACTACTCATTTTTTGTGGCAAAAAATCATTCTAGTTGTAGTAAAGTTACTTCATATGACTGATTTTTTAAATTATTATTACATAATATAAAAGAGGTATTGGGTATGGTAACTGGTAGTGTGACAATTTGCAACTGCAAACACATGAAGAGAAATATAGATCTAGTGCCATGTTTGGGTTCTAGGAGCATATATACAATTTATCAGAAAAGGGTATTATGTTTATGTATATAAATACATTTATCTATAAGTGTACTTATCTGTGTATATATATGTATGTGTGTGTATGTGTTTGTAAGTATATGCATGTGTGTGTGTATATATATATAAACAAAAATAAGGCCTCTATAAATATATATACATATATAGTGTGTGAATGTATCTATTTATATATATACATAGATGCTCATAAGAGATAGCAATAAGGAATATTTATTATGCAAATCCCAGATCAGTATTGATGTTTCAAAATATGTTACACTTAAAAACATCAAAATCTCATGTGTCCATTACCTTCTTTAACCTACTCTCTCTCTCTTCTAATACAAAATATGCATGGAGGAGAGTCCTTAACAACCAATTGTTAGTGTAGATTATTAAACAAGCAACTATGACTGGATTGGTTTATTTATGGAGAAGGGGAGAACATTATGAAATTCAATCTCATCAAAACTTTGAATTTAGGATAAATAGCATGTATTGCTTTGTTTGTCTTATGAAATAAGCAATAAATGCCATGACATTGAAGCTCAAACACATATATTTCTATTTTGCTTGAAATGACTATTTGGACTATCTTTCAGTAATAATAATAAAATAAATTGAGTAATGGAAACCTTGCAAGACCAACCCTTGTCCTGAAAGGCAGACGAAGCTTCAAAATGATCAGTAAAATCAGTAATGAAATTGCATTCTTAAGATATTATACACACACACACACACACACACACACACACACACACACACACACACACACACACACACACTGATATGTATCTATCTATATTTATGTACATATATATACATTCATGCATATACATTTATGTATATATAAAGTATACATGTATACATAAATACATCATATGTATATATTGGTGTCTGGGTGAGTGTCCAAGGCTAGAGAATCAAAAACATTGTGAATATTATTTTAACATCAAATAAAAATCAATTTAACCCATTCACGCCGGGTGTCACGTATACGTGACGGGCCTACTGTGAGTTTACTTGTTTAATTGTTTTCACACATAGATGGCTGCACTTGTACTTGTACTGCCTGTCTCGCCTGTTTACCCTTTTCTTTAATTTACGAAAATATTAAACGTTATCTTATTTTGCTGTTACTAACATTATAGTAATTATAATGTTTATAATAAAAATAACCATCGATATTCATTGTACTAGTAAAAATACATTTTCCCGCCAAATGAAATCAGGTAAGGCAGAGCCATCTAGTGTAGAGAAATTTCACAAAAAGTTTTAAAAATGAGCACGGCATTTTCCCCCATTTTTTGTTCATTTTTACCCGGCGCGAATGGGTTAAGCTTTTGCAATTATCTACACATCATAGTTTTACTTACTCAAAACAACATTCTCACTGTTTCACTCCCTACGTTGCTATGGCTCAGTTATGAAATCTATGAAATATATTTGCGAGACAAACTCTGAGGTCGGAGAATCAGAAACATTTTGAATATTTTTTCTAGTTTCAATCTTTACATTGTAGATAATAACCAGTGATTGGGCTCAGTTGTGAAATCTTTTTATTTTATTTTATTCTATTTTATTTATCTTTTTTTTTTTTTTTGAGATAAAAGTCAATCTTTGTATTTTGTTATCACTTCTTCAATCAGATTTCTTTCATACTGTAGATATTTGTGAAATTATTTCAACCAATTACACTTATCATTAGAGATCTAGAATACTATATACATTAGAATACTATATACTATATACTACACAATACTATATACTATATACTACTAGAATACTATATACATTAGAATATTATATACTATATACTACACAACTTCTCCCAGATGAAGATTGTCATCTTCAGACTCATGGTATACCAGTTAGAAATGTGGCGAGCAGTACATATATATAGAAGTATATTTAAATATAAATATAAACATATATTCATATATACACATGTGAGTGTATATATGTACATATACTTATATGTATGTATATGTATATATATATATGTATATGTATATATATATATATATATATATATATATATATATATATATATATATAGTTTACATAAGGTATAATATATATATATATATATAATATATATATATAAAATATATAATATATATATATACATATATATATATATATATATAATATATATATATAAAATATATAATATATATATATACATATATATATATATATATTTACATGTGTATAAATGTAAACATAAACATATACATATAACTGACACAAATACATATAAGTACGCACACACACACACACACACATATATATGCACATAATTACATTACTGCACATTTACCCACAGACATCCATACCAAAATAAAACTGCTAAAATCTTCTACGATCGTCTCACCTTATAGCTCTACACAGCCAAATTCCCAGCAGCTGAGTGCATGTGCCTTACCTTGGGTATTAACATAGGAGGCTTCCTCACTCAAGAGTACCCCTGCTCGACTGCATAAGAGGAAAGGGCAGGAAACTTTGGCTTCTCCTCTCCAAAAGACTCCTGTAAGAAGGATGCTAAAAATTATCCTAGTCATGTTTTTCATGAATCAAATAGTGACTGGTACAATAGTTATAAAGATATTTTTGTGTTTGGAGAAAAGGCAATATCTTGGAAAATTTTAGATATAAGTTTTCAGTCATCATAAGTATTGTAGCCATATAATAAATAGTGAAATTAAATTTTATATATGAAAAAAAGAAATTACATTTTCAATAATTATTACATTCAATGATCACAATTATGATAATAAATATTCAAAATCAATCATATCAGAAACTTTAGAGTAATAATAACTATCCTCATAAAAGTATTGGATAAATTAACCCATTCGCCACATTTGGCAAGAATAGATGCCATACCCACTTTGATACACGTTTATTTATTGTATTTACACCTAGATAGCTCTACAAGTTCTTAATAACCAAATAGCCAGTTTATCAGAACTACCTATTTCACCTGTTTACCATTTTCCTTCACCTTAGGAAAGAGTTTTTTGTATCATATCATTGTCTAAAATATTCTAATGACAATTTGATAATCATGACATCAGCAACAATACTAACAGTATCGATAGCAATAGTATTAATTTTCCCGCCAATTCAATAAATGGGAAAATCAGGGTCGGTAACTAGGGCCTACTGATAGACTCCTTGCCGGCTGAGCACATGTGGAGCCATCTGTAGGTAACAAAATGTATTAGAAGTCGAAGGATAGGATAAAATACTAGTGAAAAAGGTATAGAGGGGAAGCAAATGGAATACAGTGGGGATTTGTAAAAGGATGTGGTTAACCCATTCGCCACGGATTTATGTTCTGTCCCCTGTAGTTTTTAGTGAATTTTGTTACCTACAGATGCTCAGCCGGCAAGGAGTCTATTATTAGGCCCTAGTTACCGACCCTGATTTTCCCATTCATTGAACTGGCGGGAAAACTAATACCATTGCTTTCGATACTGTTATTATTGTTATTGATGTTATGCTTAATGAATTGTCATTAGAATATTTTTGACAATGAAATGATACAAAAACCTTTTTCCTAAGGTGAAGGAAAAGGGTAAACAGGTGAAATAGGTAGTTCTTGATAACTGGCTATTTGGTGATTAAAAACTTGTGGAGCCATCTATGTGTAAATACAATAAATAAAAGTGTATCAAAGTGGGTATGGCATCTATTCTTGCCAACCGCGGCGAATGGGTTAATTATATAGGTGAACAGGTATGTATATTCAGCCAATAGTTTGCGTGAACTCTTGCACCCGTGAAAAGCACTGCAAAGGACATATCTCGAACTACACTCACTGTCTGGACCTATACACCCTTCAGCTGAATGGTCCATTTGCAAATCAAGGTTATCTTTTATGAGCTTATTTTTAAAAAAGTCGCCACTACCAAAAGAGAAGAAGAAGAAGAAGAAGAAGAAGAAGAAGAAGAAGAAGAAGAAGAAGAAGAAGAAGAAGAAGAAGAAAGGGTGAGAGAGAGAGGGAATAGATGTTGGCCATTTCAAGAGATATTTATATATATTTGTAAATATGTTTATATATGCATTACATAAAAAAAATCTTTCCCCTTTTCTCCTCTTCTCCGTTTCGAAACCTTCAACAATAATAATTTATCTCCTTGTTTCCTCCTTCCCGTCTATATTTTGCTATCTTCCTTATCGGTTTCCCTCTCCCACCATTCCCCAATCCTTCGAGAGTTACTGATGACAGAAATCACATCAAACTAACAATGAACTAACCACTTGTAGATGAAAATAATCGCTTGTTTGGCTCGGTGTCTTTGCTGGCCGACTCTCACACTCAGGAAAAAAAGTCTATAGAGAAAATGTTGAGGGGAAACTTTCGCATTTCTATAATCCACATCACGGTGAAAGAATTGTCATAAACAAAGAAAAAAAGGTGTATTTCGTATGTACATAACAACGTTTATTTTATCAAATTTCATGACACCTTCACGACTATATTTGCATGCGGAGGATCCACAAACCAGTAGTAAGAACTGGTTTGTGGATGAGGCCACATCACTGCCTGATTCATAAATCATAAACCTACCCTTAGATCAAGTTTTGCCCAGATTATTTATTATGTATATGTATATATATATGTATATTTAAGTCCATACATAAAAGTATATATACTATAATGTATTTATGAATAGAATCTTTATAGACATCTATACATACATAAACACTCAGTACGGTAGTATATATGTAAATATATATATATATATATATATATATATATATATATATATATATATATATATATAGTGTATGTATATATATATATATATATATATATATATATATAAATATATATATATATATATATATATATATATATATATATATATATATATATAAATATAAATATATATATATATATATATATATATATATAT